CAATTTTATTTACAATAGTCCCAAATTAGAAGTAACCCAAATCTCCATCAATAGGTGAATGCATAATCAAATGAATTATTATTGATAATCAAATTAATAGTATTCACTAATAAAAAGGAAGAAAATTTTAATTTATTCAACAACATAGATAAATCTCAGAGTAATTAGTCATGTGAAAGAAGACATACAAAAGGAATGCACAAAATTCTAGAAAAAGCAAAGTTGTCTTTAATGATAAAGTGGTTTGCCCAGGGATGGGAGAAGGGGTTGAAGGGAAGGATTATAAAAAGGTATACAAGGAAACTTTGGGGGTCACAGGTATATTCATTGTGTTGATTTTAGGGACACTCATGGCTATAAACATGCCAAATTTTATCAAAGAAAATAAATATGTGCAGTTTACTGCTTGTCAAGTATACCTCCATAAAACTGTTTTAAAAATCTTATTCAGGCCCTCCCTGGTGGCACAGCGGGTTAAAGCACAGCACTAAGAAGCTAAAGCCACTTCCGCATGAGTTCGATCCCCACCTGCCCCAGAGGAGACCACATGGCGTGGCAGACCTCTCCTGACCCACCCACTGCTCCCCTCAGCAGTGTACTTCGTGGATCTGCCTGTTCTGCTCCCCACTCTGTCTCTGGTGAATCCTCTCACCCTCCGCATCTCTGGCCTGTACCCCAGTTCTGTATGAATAAATAAATAAATCTTTAAAAAAAAATCTTATTCAATTTATTCTAAACACTAGATGAATATTATTCTATCCACCTTCATTAAACCCCTAAGATGTAGATTCTGCTATTATCTCCCCTCTCACTGTGTAGAGGTAAATATGGCACAAGGGACTTAGGTAACATCCTTATGGCCACAAAATGAATATGAGAGCTGGGGGTCAATCTCAGGCAAAGTCTGTATTCTTTGTTAACTGGGAGGATATAAAGGTAACATTTAGCACTGCAATTGGCAGTGACAGTCATCCTGAAGAACAAGCTGGTAGTACTTAGTCAAATTAGGTCTACATATGCACTATAACTCAGCAATTCAGCTTGTGGAGAAAGATGAAAAGACATAGATAATTTTCATGGTGAATTTTTATAGTACAGCTATATATCTCAAAGAAACTCTCACAGGAATCTGTAAGAAACCTTGTATGAAAATATTCAATGCCATATTATCTGTTGTGATTGAGAACTAGGTCATCAACGGCACTGTGAGCAAGTAAAATGTGGGGGTGACTGACAGAGTGGTAACTATACAACAATAGAGTCAATAATCACAGAACATGGGCGGTTTTTAAAAACACAGTACTTATAGAAAATAAGAAAGATCGGAGGGAAATCTATAACAGGAGGTGAGCACAGGAGCTAGGAAAACAAAAACCAGCAGGGATTAGCTCCCTATGAGTTTAAGATGGGCTGCACTTGCTTCTGAAATCAAATGGGCTAAGTGTTACTCCGCAAGATGAGAACACTCGCGCAACACAGTCAGCATCTTCCCTACCTTCCACGCCATTTTGCTTCTCTCTCCCAGTTCTCTACTTATTCCTGCTGTCTTTTCTCCTACTTTCCCAATCACATCCTCCACACTCTTCAAATTACTTTCTACGCCTGCCACTGACTTGTTTTTCTTGATTTTAATTTTGATTTTCTGACTTTTTTTCTTGCTTTCTTTGGGGCTTAAACTCTTTAGAAGTGTTCCTGAGAAGCAAAACCTCAAAAAGGAGGGATATGCCTTGCCCCATGTGGTAGGACAGGCCCTCAGCCAGCTCTGTACCCATGGCTCTGACTTTTCATCTACCCTCAAGGGGTGCCATCCTCCTATTCCTCTCCCTCTCCTGGCCCTCCTCCCTTTATGGTATTTCAGCACCCCTGCTTCTCCATTACCTTGCTGGTAGTCACTTCTTTCTGCTCATACATATTTGTTTCTCCTCAATATTCAGACCTTAGTTCTTCATCTACACTGCTTTAGTCAGATAGTTGGAGCCAGTCACAAAATGGCTACCTATTTTTATTACTCTCCACTCTGCTTTCTTGGCCATAGGAGCTAATCTTCATTCATTCAGCAAACATGTACTTAATGCCCACCCCTCTTCTGCGAGCTCTGTGCTAGGTACATAGTGGTAAACAAGATGAGCTTCTATTGTCAAGATGAAGTATAGAGAAGAAACAATGACAATATACTACATTGGGGACACCTGACTCTCTGGAGGAAAGTCAAGGGAGGTTTCACAGAGGGTTAAGCTTGTTTTGAAAGATGAATAGGAATCCCTTATTCAGATAGAGATCAATATGGCAAAAACACCATGGAGTGAAACATGAGAATTTGAAAGTTATATTAAAGATTCAAGAAGTATCTGGGCCCT